ACTCTTTCGAGTTCCTTGTTCGAGGCGTTGAGGTACTTCATCACAAGTTCTCAGTACTCTGAGAAGCAGGTCGCAGTCCTCCTTTAGGTCCTCCTCGTTGGGTCAATAAGTGGTCGTAGCTCCTCCAAACTGACGCCATCACATACGACTTCTCTCCTTCCTCTATCACGGTGTATGATCTTCTTTTCCAGCTTTTGGCTGAATCGCACTTTTGCTCAAAGGAGGTGGTGATCTGAACCACTGCTGAAGGATGGAACCACGAGACGTCCAGTAAGCACCATCTTTGGTTGGTGAGAATGTGATCGATCTCCGCTTGAGTCGCACAGATGGGCAACTCCCATGTTTACGCCGGTGTTTTTCCTCATCCGAAAGCTGGGAAAGAAGATCTGTCAGGTTGAAGAAAGGGAAGAATTCGTATATGAGCGTTAGATTGAAGGTGCTCGTGATGTTTTGTGACTAGCCCATCAAGTGACCCAACGAATACGACCTGCTTAACAAAGAACTGAGACTGTATCTAAAGTGCCTCAATGCCTCGAACAAGCTTGGAACCTCCGACTGCCACATATTGAACGACTTATAGCCAAAACAGTAATATCTTTGCAAGAAAGTATAGATAATTGGAACTTTTGGAAGCAGCAAAAGGATGGAGAAGGAGAAGTCTAAAAAAGTATTGTCGGGACCATCTCGACTACCTTACCCCGCCGACAACACAGTTAAACGAAGATGAAATCACCTTCCCACAAAAAATGGAATCAATTACAGATTCTGCACCAATCTCCCTCACTCATCAACAATAGCGTCATACCCCGTTAGCAGTGAAGAAAACCATCAAGCATCCTGTACGTATAGCGGATGTCTGCTGAAGTACGCGCCGCAATCTAGGTTATGAAAGCAGCCACGTCTCCGGAAGCGGACTATGTTTCGCCCAACCTATTCGAGCTACATAGCTTACAAATATAGTTTGGCGCACCGTCTTACCTCTAAAAGGAAAGAAGCCCCAACAAGCGGAGAACCTCCCCGAAATAATTCTCATTGCAAATCAAGGGCATGGGTGAAGCCCAACTGTAGAGCAAGCTGGATTTCGCAAAGAATTTAGCTGCGTGGATTACAAGGAAGATTATTTGGTATTGCCGAATTAGCGCCCACCTCTCGTCCTATCCTTCGTTGGCTAAAAAGAGTTTGCAGCGTCGGGACCAATGCCATATTGTCGGCGCTCGTCGACCAAAGAGTGGACCCATCTTACGTGAGGACATTGGCCGACCTGGAGGACTGTTTACGGCATAGCTTCTCCGTTCCCATGGCATATATTCCAAAGGGGGGTTTAGTGCGATAGCGTCTCGCCAAAGCCGTTTACTACCGCCTTGTTGTGGCTGATGGAAGCATTGAATTAGAACCAGGGCCGTATAAGAGTTGAAGGTGGTTCTTCACTAGCCTTCGTTTTGCGCACGATATTGTTCTCTTCTCGAGAAATATCAATGAAGAAGAGACGATATTGAAAGAAATGAAGGTTTGAGCTTAATTTGTCGTATAATCACACCAACTTCTCAACGGTATTGGAACTATCCCAGCAGCCTCATGCGATCAAAGTAACATATGTACTTTTTACTCCATAGCCCTACCATAATGAAAAGAGGTAGAAGATCCTATGAATGGAAATTTGAGTTCAAGCTAGCCTTTGCCCTTCAAATGAACCTGAAAAGTTAACAGTGATCACATTTTGCTACATCCTGTACATCCCTAGAACAGGTGATTATGGTTTTTCGAAAATTTATGATAGTTGATGACAAGCAAATTTTTCTGGTTCAATGCGAATCAGTGGGATAGTTTTTTTTCAACAATAAACAATGGAAAAATGATCACATGCTAGAATATTTCCTATGCATCACTAATAATTTGTTTTCCATTCTTTTCACGCATACTCCTCCAATAGAAAACAGTCAGAGACGTTTTTTTTCAAACAAAAAATGGACTCCGCATAACGTTAACATGACTCTACTTTTTTACGACGAGACCACCAGATTTTTGGCTTCAGGATTTTCCCTTCATTTTCTGATTTTTGAAAGTTGCGCGGTTTTCAGCATTCTTCCAGAGAGCATTTCGAATAAAATGAAAGTAAGAACAGGATGTAGGTCTAGGAGAGCAACCACTTCAAAGAAAGGGTTCCTCGGTGCGTCCTTTGAAAAATTTCCCTAGATATGAATTGGAAGTTGCGCAGTTTCCACCCGTGCTGTGGAAAAGATTTCCTATCGAATGAGGAAAAATATATAACACGGCTTTTCTTATTTTATTCAACCAGTCCAAACAAATGTTGCGCGTTGATTAATGTATGTTGCAAGACCTTCACAGCAATATTTGACTTGCCTACATTAATTTGCAAATAATAGAGAAAAGAGCACTAATGCCACACGGAGGACGCTCGACTGCTTGGAGAACGTGCAATTACAGGAGGCGGAAGAGAATGACCAGTGCCGACAGGACTTTTGGCTCTGGTGGGCTATCTCGGCTCAACACAACGGAACCCTCGATATCTAAAAATCATTCTGCTCAGAATCGCGAAGAATCTAGCTCAACTGCGCAGCGCCAATAATCATCGTAACAAATATTCTCCATTATCTATTTCCCTATTGAAGCAGTAAACGTTTTGTTCTTTAGTTCAATTCTAGATCTTTGCAACGATCATTTCGAATAACAGATGGAATTCTAATCTATGTCTTAGATAAGTTAATTGCCTTTAAAAGAAATAGCTTTGATGCGAATCTCGTTCTACTTTTGAGGGTTTTTCCAAAGTTATTCAATCCCCCAAAAGCTCAACTATTGCATTAAGTAATATTCGTACAGAAAAACTTCGCTTCTCTCTTTTTAATTCAATCATTATGTACTACAAATGACGTCATTCTTTTTGGTCTTACTCCTAATTTCGATGAAGTCAAGTGCAGCTTTCTCAACACTTTTTGAAATAAAGTAATTTGCCAATTTAAATGAGAAATAGATGTTCGGGTTTTCATTCCTAACGAAATTTCCCAAGCTCTCATAGGTGAGACTGTCATCTTTTCTCGCTCCAATGGTGAGGGTGACCAAAGCCGCGGCTCCATGTCGACGTAAACAGACAACCAGGAACATTTCCGTACTTTTTTAGTATTGAAAGGAAAGATGAATGGAAACTTTTTCACTGGGAGCATTGTATAGTAAATTTTGAGAATTCAGCTTTTTGTTTGATGCAGTGTAAAATCGCTCTCAAAAGTGCCAGCAGGCTGACTGGACTTCAATGACTGAAAATCAATAATATAAAAAGAATTACTCGAATAAGTTCATGTCATTTTTTCTTCAAACTCAAAGAAATTCTTTAAAACCAACAGCTTGCCAACATATTATATATTCTACGAAAGAAAAAGAAAAGCCCTCTAACAGATCAATTTCGGCTTTTTTAAGACTTGTGAAACTGGAATTTGATAAAGCACAAAACCTTAACCGATAGCCTAATTTTCCAGGATGTTAGAAGTTCAAAATTGCTAAACGCTTCATATTTTGTAGTTGGATGATAAGTTTAAAAATCTTATGCATTTTCTACGATGGAAGCCAACTGATTACCATAGATATACGATAGAGGAGCTACTTCACTGGCTAGCCTAAAAAGTGGGTTAAATAATTTTCATGACGATCACAGTAATCATATTTATCTCAAAATAGGCTCTGTTGCTGTATGTTTAAGGTAGGTATACGACATAAAGGCCGGCTTCAATAAACTGCTTAAAAGGAAATTTTGAGTAGTTTGGTGTATATGCGAAAATGCTATTAAATATGTACGATTTTCGTAGTCGCCTTGACAATAAACATCAGCAGGCCTTAAAATAGAGGATTCCGAGCTCAGCAGCATGTACCTATCGCAATCCTACCATAAAGTTCTGTCGGAAAGATAGATATGATTTTTTAGTACCATTTTGGCAATTTTCTCTTTTGTCCCAGAAAAAAAAGTAAGATGTTGATCAGGTGAGCCTTCTTACCAAATTTTATGTTTTGTAGGTTTGTCGAGATACACTGCTGTATACGTACTGTATATGTGTACTGTTTACTTCTTATTTTTCTATCTGATTTGTGGATTTGTTTGATACGAGATGTCACCGGCAGATTTTTGGAACGTAAACATTGAAAAGACGAGTTTAGGCAATTTTCTCGTTGCAATTAAAATTAGGCTAGAAAGCACAAAAAAGAGAATCGATAAAAATTATTCTTTGGCTTTCTAACTATCTTGAATGCAGCAATTAGCGATTCAAAAAACCTTGTAAGAATCAGTGAAAGTTTGATCCGGTATGGGCATTGACAGCAGCCGCGCGTAAAGGCGATAGCTGAGAAAAATGCTCAAGGAGTTAGCATTGTCGTCGTATTAGATCCATTGTTAGTTGCTCCATTCAGAAGGCTAGAAATTAGAATATAAATGATAATATTTGTTCATATCTCATCCAAAAATGGAAGGATAGACCGTGAAGGATATTGAATTTTGACTCTATATTACCGCTGTATTGATTTTTGAATGTAAAGATTTGTCAAGAATAGAGATTTGCTATTTTACAGCCGTCTCTAGTCGATAATAATTGTGCTCAGATGAAACATTCATAATAGTTAAAATTGTCCATTATCACTGAACAGAGGCACACTTCCAGTAATAGTGACAACCTAAACAAGCTTGGTGAGCCTAAAAAGCCCAGATTCCAGCATATAGAGGTCTTTATGGAAAAGTTATGTTTATCTGTATCCTGTACACAATTGCACGAAAAATGGTGTACAGGATACAGATAAACATAACTTTTCCATAAATAATGGTGGATTGTGTGTCAATTTGAAAAGTGCTAGCGACTCATTCAGAAGAAAAACGAGGAGGTTGATAACTGAAAATCAAAAAAAGATACTCTTATTTCTAACTACAAAAATGACAATGTCATATGGTGCTCTAATGGAAGTCATGCACCTACAACGCCAGAACATTCTCCAGCCCGGCCAATCTTCACGGCCTTCTCGAAGCTGCAGAGCATATCAATTAACGTAATCGCCTTGTACAAAACAAAGTCCAGGAAGACGAACGTGCGGCAGCTGCGTGATGGCACATTCATCATTCGTGGTGAAAAAGTTCCATCTCGAAACATTGGAGACGTCGGATTTGTCGCATACCCAGTTGTCCAACTTGTCGATAGGCACGAGTCCTATCACCTCACCCGGCTATCTTTCGATTTCGTCCTCTGCATCAAAAGACCATCACCATCATCAATTGCTGTCCTCCAACATCAGCAGATGACTCACAAGCAGATGCCTTGTATGGGATTTGAAAGAAGTCAACCGCAAAGAGAAGTCCTTCCGAAATTTGTTGAGTTTCAATGCGAAAATCGGGGTGCGAAGTGGAGCATAGGATTGGGAGATTTAGATGAAGGATTACGGCTGCTTCCCAAGGACCGAGAGCCTCTGGTGAAAGCGCCTAAATGCATCGAACAAGGATCTTGGAACGAATTCCGACAGCCATCAAGGATCTGCTAGAGAGGAGGAGAGCACTGAGCCTGGATCCGACTGCATCACTTCTCGAGCAATGGTAGCCAATACCAGTTGCAGAACAGCTTTGCAAAGATTTCGAAAGTACAGGCAATCGTAACGAAGTTTAAAGAAGTACGCAGGGACCTTCTCGACTACCGTGTTCCGCTGACAATATTACTAAACGAAAACGGGAGTCGCACATCTTAAAGATAAATCTATCACAAAGAGATTCTACATCAATCTCTTCTGCTGATCAAGTCAAACCCGTTTTCCCC